AACACTGTCTGATATATTGTTGGACAACTTTATGAATAGCCCTGAAACATTGTCCAATACAGTGCCAGAAGATGAGCCCCTCAGATGGGAAGGTACTCAAAATATGACTGGGAAAGAGCTACTTCATCAGAGTAGAGCCGACCTTAATGATATGGATAAAGTAGAGCTTTTGGGGCCACCATTTGCTGATGTGGCACAACTGAAAATGAGAAGAAACAGCTGCAAACATCCATTAATAATCAGAACATGGAACGTACGAAGTATGAATCTAGGAAAATTGGAAGTTGTCAAAAATGAAATGGACCACATAAAGATTGATGTACTAGGCATTAGTGAACTGAAATGGACTAGTTTTGGCCCTCTTGAATCAGACAACCATATGATCAACTATGCCAGGAATGACAATTTGAAGAGGAATGGAGTGGCATTCATCATCACAAAGAATATTTCAAGATCTATACTGAAGTACAGTGCCATCAGTGATAGGATAATATTCTTACACCTATATAAGGAAGACCAGTTAATACTACTGTTACTCAGATTTACACACTGACCACCAAAGTCAAAAATGAGGAAGTGGAAGATTTTTACCAACCTCTGCAGTCTGAAATTGACCGAACATGCAATCAAGATGTGCTGATTATCACTGGTAATTAGAATGCAAAAATTGGAAATGAAGAATCACCAAAGTAATAGAAATGATGCTGGAGATCGCATGATAGAATTTTGCAAGCCCAATGACTTACTCATTGCAAATACCTTTTTTCAACAGCACAAATGGCAGCTATATACATGGATTTCATCAGATGGAGTACACAGGAATCAGATAGACTACATCTGTGGCAAGAGGCAATGGAAAAGCTCAATATCTTCAGCCAAAACAAGGTCAGGAGCTGATTGTGGAACAGGCCACCAACTGCTCATATGCGAGTTCAACTTGAAGATGAAGACAATTAAAACAAGTCCACAAGAGCCAAAATATGACCTTAAATATATCTGTCCTGAACTTAGAGACCGTCTAAAGAATAGATTTGATGCATTGAACACTAGTGGCTGAAAACCAGAAGAATAGTGGGATGACATCAAGAACATAATCCATGAAGAAAGCAAAATGTCATTAGAAAGACAGGAAAGGAAGAAAAGACCAAAATGGATGTCAGAAGAGACTCTGAAACTTGCCCTTGAACAAAGAGTGGCTAAAGCAAATGGAAGAAATGACAAAAGAGCTGAACAGAAGATTTCAAAGGGCAGCTCGAGAAGACAGAGTCAATTATTATAATGGAATGTACAGACATGGAGTTGGAAAGCCAAAAGGGAAGAACATGATCAGCATTTTTCAAGCTAAAAGAACTGAAGAAAAAATTTAAGCCTCAAGTTGCAATACTGAAAGGTTCTATGGAAAAAATACTGAATGATACAGGAAGCATCAAAAGAAGATGGAAGGAATGCACAGAATCATTGTACCAAAAATAGTTGGTTGTTGTTCATCCATTTCAGGAGGTGCCATATGATCAAGAACCAATGGTATTAAAAGAAGTCAAAGCTGCATTGAAGGAAGTGGTGAAAAAGCAAGGCTCCAGGAATTGACAGGATACCCCATGAGATGTTTCAACAAATGGATGCCACGCTGGAGGCACTCACTCGGCTGTACTAGGAGATTTGGAAGACAGCTCCCTGGCCAACTGAGATCCATATTTGTACCCATTCCAAAGAAAGCAATCCTACAGAATGTGGAAATTATTGAACAATATCTTTAATATCATGTGCGAATAAAGTCTTGCTGAAGATAATTCCAAAACGGTTGCAGCAGTATATTGACAGAGAACTTCCAGAAATTCAAGCTGTATTCAAAGGAAAATGTGGAATGAGGAATATCACTGCTTAGCTGAAAGCAAAGAGTACCGGAAAGATGTCTACTTGTGTTTTATTGATTATGCAAAAGCATTTGATTGTGTGGATCATAACAAATTGTGGATAATATTGAGAAGAATGGGAATTCTGGAACACTTAATTGTACTCATGAGGAACCTGTCCATAGACCAGGAGGTTGTCATTCAAACAGAACAACGGGACACTGAATGGTTTAAAATCAAGAAGGGAGTGTGTCAGCATTGTATCCTTTCACCATACTTATTTAATCTCTACGCTGAGCAGATAATCCAAGAAGCTGGACTATATGAAGAGGAATGTGGTATCATGATTGGAGGAAGAATCATTAACAACCTGTGATACACTGATGACACAACTTTACTTGCTGATAGTAAGGATGACTTGAAGTACTTACTGATGAAGATTGTCTGCAGTATGGATGACACCTCAATATAAAGAAAACAAAAATCCTTACAACTGGACCAATAAGCAGCATCATGATAAATGGAAAAAAAGATTGAAGTTGTCAGGATTTCATATTACTTGGTTCTACAATCAATGCAAATGGAAGCAGCAGTCAAGATATCAGACAATGTATAGCAATGGGCAAATCAGCTGCAAAAGACCTCTTTCAAGTGCTGAAGAGCAAAGATGTAGCCTTGAGGACTAAAGTGTGCTAACATAAGCCACGATATTTTCAGTCACCTCATATTCTTGTGAGAGCTAGACAATGAGTAGATAATACTGAAGAAGAGGCGATGCTTTGAGCTGTGGTGGAGAAGAATACTGAAAATACCTTGGACTGCTAAAAGAGCTAACAAATCTGTCCTGGAAGAAGTGCAGCCAGAATGCTTCTTGGAAGCAGGAATGGCCAGACTTCACTTTACCTACTTTGGTCATGTTGTAAGAAGAGCCCATTCCCTGGAGAAGGATATCACGCTTGGTAAAGTGGAAGGTCAATGAAAGAAGGAAAGGCCCTAAACAAGATGGATTGGCACAGTGGCTACAATCTTGGGCTCAGGTATAGCCGGGATTGTGGAGCTAGCACAGGACTGGGCAATGTTTCATTCTGCCCTACATAGGGTTGCTATGAATTGGAGATGACTCAACAGCACCTAACAGCAACAACAAACCCAGGGCTTCCTTTTCAAAGATTCTTCACCATCAACCTGAATTGGTAACACCAGAAACTACCATCCCCAAAGCATAATTAGACCATGTCAGATCAAAAACAAAAATTCCATGGGGTTCAAGTTCCCACTGAATGAAACCTGCCTAAACACATGGAATATCCCAAGTTCTGTGGTGCCTTAGTGCTAGGAGATGACTTAGAATCATGTTAGCCCATGGCCATTGCTAAAAGAAGGAATATTCTGGGGCAACTCACATCCTTCCTGAACTTCAACTCTGGTTGACCCAGAAAAGTTTAGGATTCTATTTTCATTGAGCAGCATTTGCCACACCCATTCGACCCCGCTGAGGGATCTCTATTTTCCTTTCTTCCCTGTCTTGTACCGCATATCCCTCCAATCTCCAGGGCCTGTTTCTGTTTGATGAATATTTATTGCTTCTATCTATTTGCCAGTTCCACAGCCAAGTGTCTCATCATTTCAGTCTCAATAATCTGCTTCTCCCTCTAGCATCGTATTCTACCCTCAGTCCTTTATTCCTTTTCTGAAGTAGTTTTTCTGCCAGCTAATTCAATGCTGTCACCATTTTCATCAAAAGTCTATAATGGCTGACCATTACCATCTGTGATACTCACAATTTCATGACCGTTTATCAGGCTGGCCTAAGATCCTTCACCATCTGCCACCTGACACTACCAATCAGTATAATACAGTAAAGATTTCCAAGGTAACTTACAATTTATTTCAGCTTAGTTTTCACTACCCGTCTTCTTTTGTCTGACTCCCTCAGCCCAAATCTTAGAGGATTTTCCCCCAAGACTTATACTAATGTGGGTTTCTGTATTCAGTGCTACTAATTGTACCTACAGCTTATCACTGTATCATAATATTAAAACGTTTTCTTTTCCTTCTGGGTTCAATTTAAGTTACCAGAAAAATCAAATTCACTGCTGTCAAGTTGGGTTCGACTCATAGCAATCCTTCCTTGGATTTCCAAGGTGGTATCACTACAGAAGTAGATTGCCCCATCTTCCTTCCAAGGAGTAGCTGTTGGGTTTGAACCACCAGCCTTCTGGTTAGCAGTCAAATGCCTTAGGCACTATACTTTAACGTGTATGTCTTTTATTATTCATCTTCAGGAAATATGCATACTTCTTGGTAGATGACAAGATAGTTGCTTAATACCTATCCACTGATGATATTAAAGGAACTCTGGTGGCATAGTGCCTAAGGCACTTGACTGCTAACCAGAAGGCTGACGGTTCAAACCCACCAGCCACTCCTCGGAAGGAAGGTTAGGCAATCTATCCTTGGACTGCACACCTGATTTGTCTTGTGTATTGTACCTTTCCTTTGCCTATTTTTATTTGGTATATGAAGTTTGCTAATATAACTATTATTTTAAATTCTATTTTTCTAGTAATACATGTGTACACACAGGCATGTGTTTGTGTGCATGAGTGTTTTACAAATGGTAGCATTAACATAGAAAGATTATGACCTTAATCACTGACTGTGTAACTTTGCACAAGTTATATAACTTATTTGACCCTTAGATTTCTAGTCTGTAAAATGTGGATGCTAAACTACCTTCAAAGAACCAGTTGCCTTCAAGTCAACTCTTAACTCATGACGACCCCATTATGACAGAGTAGAACTGTGCTCTGTATGGTTTTCTGTGGCTGACTTTGGGAAAGTAATAGCCCAGGCCTTTTTTATGAGGCACCACTGGGTGAACTTGAACTTTGAAACTTTTGGTTAGCAGCCAAATGCATTAACTGTTTGCACTACTCAGAGACTCCACAAACTACCTTATAGGATTGTTAGAAGGATTAGGGGAAACAAATGCTTAGCAAATGCCTGATGATAGTAGCTATTTAAGAATTAGCTGCTTTTATTACAGTTAATCTAAATGGTATTGCATTGAAGGGGAAAAAGTAGGATATGATTGTAACTCAGGTACTGGACCATATTAATATCTGTTTATCTTTCTGTCCCTAGGTTGAATATGTTTCAGGAAAGGTTTTTTTCACCACCTGTTCTGATTTGAATATGCTGAAAAAGTTAAAATCTGCAGAAAGATTATTTTTGTTGATTAAAAAACAGTTTCCACTTACTTCTGTAAGTAAAGGTATGGTATGTTGTTGTTGTTGTTATATGCTATCAAGTCGGACCTGACTCATAGTGACCCCTCCTTGGGTTTCCGAGGCAGTATCACTATGGAAGTAGATTGCCCAACCTTCTTTCCAGGGAGTGGCTGATAGGTTTGAACCGCCAGCCTTCTGGTTAGCAGTCAAGTGTCTTAGGCATTATGCCACCAGAGCTCCTAGATGTGGAATTAGAAGCATGTAATAACTCAAAATGCATTATTTTAATAACTTGGTCAAAACAGTCACTTTTGGTTGATAAGTGATATAATTGGTAAAATGCTGCATAGTAAAATTTCTTATTTCTGTGACCTTATGTTTTGAATACATTTATATTCATTTATAAAACACCAGAGCTAAAAGGACCTTAAGGGAAATCTATCTATTTCTTAATTTCATAATTTATTCTGCTAAAGTAATTTTAAAAGCTTGATAAAAGCAGCAAAGTGTCAAACACTACAGGAGAAAGCGGCCTTAAACTTCAATTTGAGAGCTCATTTTGCACATTATATTGTCAATAGTAACTAATTCAAGAAAGATGGATGGCAGGGTAGGAAAATATTATTTTAAAGTAAATCTCAAAATATTATACGATGGGATCAATATAATTTCATCCCAGTATTCCATACTGTCTCATCTTTAAGGAATCACACAGTAACTACTCTTAAATCATCTTGATAGCCCTTGCTCAACAAAAAAGCATTAAATTATAGCATGCTGACAATCCCTAAGTTATGAATGGGCTGTATATCTGAAGTGTTGCTTTATGGAAACTCATTTTAGGATATGTGCTAATAGTATGGTCTAAAGTGAAATAGTCCCAAGATTTAGTTGCTCTGTTTTTGAGCTGGGTGGTTTGCAATTTATTTTGTTTTTTTTTTTTAGACTTAATTCTTCTGAGTTCTGTAGTTTGTAGTAGTCTATTTGTTTAAACTTAATTTTTACAGGCAAGATCAGCATTATTTTAAAGATAGATATGTATTCTAGAATATATTGAAGATACATATTAGGATAAGGATCTTGCTAAAATATTATATGATAATTCTATAGGAATTTTAAACTTTCATTATATTCCATATGTGTGTGTGTGTGTATATGTGTGTGTATATATATATATTCCATAGCTTTTCTTGCTCTGAATTCCTATATTTTGGGAAAGCTTTAACATTTGTATATACCCTTAATAGGTAGGGATTTCCTCAAACTTTTTACCGGTCTGGATATGATTTGGTATAATAAACATGCTACCTATATAAATAGCTCCAATTCTTAAATATTTGTATTAAAATATTTATAGTCTAGAGAAATCTATTTATTTTTCATCTACTCAGTCCACAAATATTTACTGAATGCCTAACATACATAAGCCATTCTTCTGAGCACTGGTGATAAAGTAGTGAAAACAATTGATAAACATCCTTGCCTTCATAGACTATATTATGTGAGATAGGAGCAAACAAGCGAAAACATAAAATGTAGTATCAATAGTAAATCTATGGATTAAAAAAAGGGGGGAAGAGATAAGACTTGCCATTGGTAGTAGGGTGTATGTTTTGAATTGAGTGGTCAGAGAGGGCCTCATTGAATGAAGACAGAGGAGATGAGAGAATGAGCCATGTTGGAAGACATTTCTGGGGAAGAGGGAACAGTGAGTTCAGAGGCCCTACAGAAAGCCCAGGATGACTGGAGGGAAAAGGGCCAGTGGAAATGGTATGTAAAACAAGTTCAATTAATTTCAGGGAATTTAGTTATTTTAGGACATGCATCCCAGAAGAAAAATTACAGTTTTGGTAGTATATATACAATACAGGAATGAGCTTTATTCTAGAAAATACCTTATGATAAACTCTAGAAATTCTAGATTAAAGTAAAGTCACCAATCATGTAGCAATTTAGTAAAAGTTATTTTTAAAAAGTAAAGGTAATGGAATTTGACAGGGAATGAATGTAATAAGCTGTCTTTAAAACTTCAATATAGGATAAACTGAGATGTTATTTATTTAGGAAAAATATTTAATGAAATGCAAAGACTTATAAATGATGATCCAGGAAGTTGGTTGAAGGCCGTTTCAGTTTGGAAAAATCTTCTTGAACTTGACACAAAAAATGAACAACTTTCTCAAGGAAGTTCTAACTCATTTAAAAGAAAATTAGAAGAAAATGAAATTACCATTACTAAGAAACTAAAAACAGAACAAATCCAAGAGATACAAGAGAATAGGGACTGCCAGCTGCAAAACCAAATTGGAGAAGAAACACTGGTGCAAGAAGATTTTATTACTAAACAAGAAAATTTTCAAGAAGAAGAGTTTCAAAATGATGTAGAGAAAGCAATTGTTGGTCATAACCAGAAAGACTTGACTTTCAGAGTGTCTTGTCGCTGCACTGGGGCTGTTGGAAAGACCTTTAGTGCTCAGGTATGTTTGCCTCCCGAAGTGGTTTCCCATTTCTTAGAAGAGGAATTTACCATTTAGATTTAAAATGAGATTAAAATCTCTTAGGGAACAGATAATTAGGCCTAAACAGATAACTAGGCTTAATCTCATCTAATTCAGTATCTTTAAAAATTCATTTTCCTTTTTAATTTTTTGTTAGATGTTTAAGAGGTATGATATGCCATGCCATGCCATGGAATGGCTCTCTAATTTCTGCTAAAGTTTCCTTAACATCATAAATATCCTTGGCATTTGGAAACCCTAATGTGGCCCTAAGCTTTTTAGAGTTTCTTTTTAGTTTGGTTCTGTATTTCTTGAATGGCTACACTGCACCAGGCCCTGCATGTGTGGCTGCCTTGGGGACCCAGGGCTACAAATACACAAATAACTGAGACTGAGAATCTAAGGAGAGCAAGCACCACAAAAATTTACATCAAACACCTTTTTTTTTTTTTAAATTTTTTTTTTTATTGTGATTTGGGTGAAGATTTACATAGCAAATTCACTTTCCATACAGCAGTTCACATATACTTTGTCTCATGTCATTGACCATAATTTACCATAATGCAACAGCTCCCCTCCCACTTCCTCCCCATAGTTACCTCTTCCCAGTGTCCATCCCTCCATACTCTTCTGCCCCCTGAGCTGTCTCCCTGTGCATAAGCAGCCCTTCTTTCTTCCATGATTCGAACACCTTTTTTTTTGGTTAGTCCTTTACAAAGCTCAGTAATACAAAGAGCATAAACGGTCCTTTGTTGTTGTTGTTATGTGCCGTCCAGTCGGCCCCGACTCATAGCGACCCCTCCTTGGGTTTCCAAGGCAGTATCACTACGGAAGTAGGATTGCCCAACCTTCCTTCCGAGGAGTGGCTGGTGGGTTTGAACCGCCGGCCGTCTGGTTAGCAGACAAGTGACTTAGCCACTATGCTACCAGAGCTCCTAAACGGTCCTTTAGCCAACCTTAAAATCAGAAAATTTCTATAGGTTGAGTATAATGTTACTAATCTGGTATTTTTAACCATGTAAGATTGTGATGGCTGGAACAGTTCTTTCAGTTTGTATCCATGTCTTAAAACCCAAGTTATGATCTGGTTATTTCATGTGACTAAACTTCCTAAAATAGAGATTACACATGAATGAATATTAATGCCATGGGGGATATTTGGGACATGGAGGAGGTAAAGGCAGCCTTATTGCCTTCGATGGAAAATTCTTTAGTATAAAATTGAGCCATAAATTACCATCCAGTAGTCTGACTTGACTTCCTACAGGCTTTATTAATTTGTGCTTATTTTTAAGCTTTACATTTTCATTTTTAGTATTTTCATCTTTTTTTTTACTTGCTATTTTTCCAGGAAGTAGGAAGAGTAATTGGTATTGCTCTTATGAAACAGTTTGGATGGAAAGCTGATTTGAGGAATCCAAATTTAGAGGTAATGAATTGTTGTTTTACTTTATACTTAAAGAATATATTGTCACATTCTTTAAAGACAATGTCAGCAGTGTCAACTCTCCTTATTATATTTTTTAATATAACTCTGGATTGTTTAAAAACCTACCAACATGGGCATAAAAGTCTGTTTTCTCTTTAGCAGCAGAATAGTACAGATTGTTTCATCTAATAATATTTGCTATTAAAATATGTTATCCAAATAGGACTTTTAGGAGCTTTTTAGTCACTTTTGAAGAAAAGAAAAACATATAAAGCTGTGAAGATGGTGTCTTCTACAATCTCTGTAATCCATAGTAAGTCTCTACTATCTATGTAAGAAAAAAAAATGTGTCATTGAGTCAATTCTGACTCATAGCAACTCCATTGAGTTTCCAAAACAGTAAATCTTTACGGAAGCAGATTGCCTCATCTTCCTTCCACTGAGTGGCTGGTGGGTTTGAACCACCAGCCTTCTGGTGAGCAGTCAAATGCCTTAGGCAGTACGCCACCAGAGTTCCTTATAATAAGAAAGTTCTGAATAAAATTCAGTAAGTTGTTAATAGTGGCTTTCTTAGGGTTATGAGATTATGGGTGTTTTTCATTTTCTCTATTTTCTAGATTATTTTAATGAATTTATACTATTTTTATAATGGCATCTAAGTAAAAATATGCTAACTGTAGAAATACTCTTATTTTTTTGAAAACTGTCTCATAAATTTGGCAGATATTTAGCCCATTTTTATGATTCACTAATTCATAAAGTCATTACTTATTATCTACCTTCAAATGGAATAATAGCTGGCCAAATAAATTAGGACATTTTGGGTTGTTTACTTTTTAATTTTCTTCATATGATGTTTTTCAATTTTAGAAAAATAATGCATGTTTCTGGTATCAAGTGAAATAATACATTACAAAGACTTATGAACACAAGCCTGATCCGTGATGTTTGCCTTCCTCTCTTCCACTTCCAGTGTTAACTGCCTTCATTGCTTTCGTAAAAAGTGTTTTGACCCCAAGAATGTTTTGGTGTGAGGGTGTTTTCCTCTCATCAACTCCTTTCTTGTTCTCGTATCTTCTCCTCTCCTGATTTCCTCCTCTACATCTCCTCTTGACTCCAACTCTTTCTCAAAATTACTCACAATTTTTCATAGATTAGCTCGTAAGTGAATAAATATAGCTAATTTAATTTCTATCAGCTATTTACTGCAATTAATAATAGAATGGCTATTATTGGTAGAAATAATCAGCGCAAAACAAAATTGACATCATGAAAATAAACAGTAAAATTTGTAATTAAAATTAACAGAAGAATCAACTGTTAAATTTTATTCTGTTGATGGAAAAACATGGACACAAAGAAATGTTATAGCTAAAGAAACTGTTCTTAATAACATTTAACATGTAAAAACAAGATAGTGTGTCAAATCATTAGTGTTAATTCTAAATCGAAAAGAATTAAAATCCCTGTGAACAATTTTGCTAAAATTAATAATACAGACATACTTTATTTTACTGCGGGAGCTCTGGTGGCATAGTGCCTAAGGCATTTGACTGCTAACCAGAAGGCTGGCGGTTAAAACCCACCAGCCACTCCTCAGAAGGAAGATGGGCAATCTATTTCTGTAGTGATGCCGCCTTGGAAACCCACGGAGGGGTCACTATGAGTCGGATCTGACTTGACAGCAGTAAGTTGTTTTTTTTTTTATTATTATTTTGTTGCTTTGCTCTGTTGCACTCCACAGGTATTACATTTTTTACAAGTTGAAGGTTTGTGGCAACTCTGCACCAAGCAAGTCTTTCGGCACCATTTTTCTAATAGCATGGTCTCACTTCATATCTCTGTGTTACATTTTGGTAATTTTGACAATATTTCAAAGGTTTTCATAATGCTACTGCATACTTTATAGACCACAGTATAGAGTAAACATAACTTTTATATGCACTGAGAAACCAAAAAATTCGTGTGACTCTCTTCATTGTGATATTTGCTTTATTGCAGTGGTCTGGAACTAAACCCTTAATATGTTTGTGGTATGTCTGTGTAAAAGATTAGCTGTGATGTATTATTTGATCAAATAATTAAATTAACTAAATGGTGTTCACCCAGATAATTTTTTCTTGATTAAAATTTGTTAGTATTAGCATAATTCTGATTGAAACTCTTACAATAAAGATATCCCTGGTCTGAAAGTATCAGGGATTGAAATGCTCTTTATGACTGAAACAACATTGTTAGAGTATTGAAGTCCGAAAGATTCTAATTTTTTTAAACTTATATGGGCTTCTGGTTATAACTTGAGACATTTAAATCTTCATGTCTGAACAGAAGGAAAAAAAAAAAAAAAACACCAAGAAACTCACCTGTAGATTGTAGAGAAAGAATAGGGAGCACCCTTCTCCCTGATATGTGGCTTGAAGAAAGCTTTCTGTTACTTCATGAGTGTAAAAAGCTCTGTGTGATACAGAATCTTAGTTGTTGTTTTGTTGTTGTTTGCCGTCGAGTCGGCCCCTACTCATAGTGACCCCTCCTTGGGTTTCCGAGGCAGTATCACTATGGAAGTAGGATTGCCCAACCTTCCTTCCAAGGAGTGGCTGGTGGGTTTGAACCGCCAGCCTTCTGGTGAGCAGTCAAGTGCCTTAGGCACTATGCTACCAGAACTCCTAGAATCTTAGTAGGGGTTAGAATTTGGGTGGACTCTAGCTTAAACGCTATAAAGTCTGGTTCATTTCAATAATTCAAAGACTTTGTGCTAAGAAAATTAATCTTGAGTTCTTCAAAACACTAGTCTCCATATAACTTATACACCCACATTGACCAAAGAATTTTTCTCTGAAATGTATTTAAAATTTAGCTTGTCTCTACTCAAGGGGGAAATAAAAAAAGTTATTTATAGTTTGTCAGATATGATAAATAAGACCTTGAAATTTGTTATTAAAATATAGTTTGTATAGGTTCAAATTAAAGTTTCTGATAATTTGGTAATGTAATTTCTTAATTCTGTTCTCACAGATATTTATACATCTAAATGACATTTATTCTGTGGTAGGGATTCCTATTCTCAGGTAAATACTTTTATCTATGCTTTGAGATTGTTCCTTAGGAGATTTTGTAAAATTAAGAACTTTATAGTTTTTATTTATAGTATAAAATGTTGATGTAAAAGGGGGAAAAAGGCATAGGATTTGAGTTCTTTTCTTGAACTGGTAAAATGTTTTCATGGCTCTTGGTGGATATGATTTGACCTAACCATTTTAAGCTGTGAAAGATTTTATCACTAATATACTGATTATGTTATTAATACTGAGAATTATGCCTAAAATTTCTATTGTTATTTCTATTATTTTTTACAGGCCTATATGTAAGCTAAAAAAGCTAAAAATTTTAGTCTATTGACATCTTAAAGTTTTAATTCAAAATATAATATAGTTTTTAAAATTTACCTTGTATATTATCCAAATTTCGTTGCCATAATTCTTTTAGTGTGGGGAGATTATTGCCGGTTTTTTAAATCTTCAAGTGTCTCCCTAACACTCAATTATATAATAATAAGTACAAGTGATACATTTCTATATTTAAAAATATTTATTGAACATCCGGCAATCTACTTCTTCAGAATACCGTCTCAGAAACCCAAAGGGTCACTATGAATCGAACCGACTCGACGGCAGTGAGTTTGTGTGGTTTTTTTGTTTTGTTTTGTTTTTGTTTTTTCTGGGTACTTTAAGAAGAAAGAGTTGATTGGATCAAAATAGTGATTTTCAGTTTTTTGGGAGTATATAAAGGAGTTCTGGTGGTGGTATGGCATTAGGCTGCTAACCAAAAAGGTCAGCAGTTCAAACTCACCAGCCACTCTGTGGGAGAAAGATGAGTCAGTCTTCCAGAAAGATTTATAGCCTTGAGAATCCTGTGGAAGTTGCTATGAATTGGAATTAACTTGATGGCAGTGGGCTTGGGAATATGTGAATAGCGTGGGCATCTACAAAAAATTGTATATGCATAGCCCTGTGTAACTAAGATAAAGTGATAGACACTGTTTTTCTAAATGATTTTAGTAATAGATTTTTTTAAAAAAAAGATCTTTAAAGTTTCATGTGTTTTAGGCCTCAAAAATACTCCATTTGTCTTAAGCTCATACACATGGGTATAGTATTAATTACAATGTGAATTATTATTTTCTGAAGAAATGGTATTAAAAAGTGAAAACTTCCAAGGGTTCATCTTACAGAGCTTCTTTGTTATAACAGAAAATATGCACTTACATTTTCTTATATAAAAGGGACTTGCATTAAATATTCTCCAAACAATATAACTGAAAATAAAGAAGGTGAGAAACAAAGTAGTAAAAGAAATAAATGCTTAATATTTGCCTGCCTGGAATTCTGTCTTTAAGAAGGGTTTAGAGAGCATTCTGGCTTTGTGTGATGTTTTTAGAAGAACCTTCTTAGTGGTTTTGGAATAAGCCTTCATCAGGATAACTTACCACAAATTATTGAAATCATGTATTTATATCTTACCAGTAAATTCTACAAGTGAAATTAAAAAAAAAAAAAAAATGCATTGAAATTTCCTAGAAGATGCTGCTTGGTCATTGCCTTAAAAAAAAAAAAAGGACAAAACACCTCACTGTAGTCAAGTCGATTTTGACTCATGACTACCTCCATTGAGTTTCCAAAGCTGTCAGTCTTTACAGAAGCAGACTGGCTCATCTTTCTCCCACAGAGCGGCTGGTAGGTTCAAACCACTGACCTTTTGGTTAGCAGCCCAGTGCCTTAACCACTACAGCACCAGAGCTCCTTATTCATTGCATTAGCAAGGTAGAAATAATAATAGATGATATTTTGAATATTTCTAACATCTGGAACACTGATAGTAGCAATGATAAGGTGGAGGATAAAGTATGAAATGATAAATAATGGAGAACAGTTAATTATTTGGAGATGTCTGCTTCAGCCCTTAATTTAATTTTTTTTTTTTTTTTAGACAATGCAGTGTTGTGCTTTATTTCATCTTTTTAAAAAGCAAATTTACAAAAGTCACTTATTGTAGAAAGTAGATTTCAAGAGTTAGTATCCATTTAGTCCCACTTACTATATTATACCTGTATCACAATACAGCATATACTTTTTAATAACTCTACATCTATTGGAAAAGGTTTATTCTGTATCAGAATATAAGACAGTAAATAAACTATCTTAAATATAAGATTTGCCTCATATATGATTAAATTTTTATAAATCAAACACATAAGAGTTTAAATTTCAGTTGTCAAAAAAATGTACATTTTTGAAGGACTGGCTGGCGTTAGACAAGGTATTTTTGTAATAATGTTAAAATATACTCTAGTGTATGTTGATGAATATGTTAAAATGATTCACAAGGATGGAAGTTAATCTTTTTTATTTATGTCATGTTGTTCTTTTACATATTGTAATTTTTGGTGTATGGACACAGTGGTTGCTTAATAATGGGTTTAGACATACCAAAGATTGTGAAGATAGGCAGTACCAGGAAGTGTTACATTCGGTTACACATAAGATCACCATGAATTGGAGATGACTCTACAGCAACTAACAACAGTATTTGCTATATATTCAGGTTATTTTCTTTGTAGGGTTCCTTTAGCCAGCAGAACTTACATCAGGACAGCTGGACTGCGATCTACCATAGCATGGGCAATGGCATCTCTTGCTGAAATTAAAGTAAGGAAAATGTTTTCATTCTTGTTAACATCCTTTCCATAATTAATCTACCTAGTCTTTTACTGATGACAGCTGGTTTCTTTTCTTTTTCTCCCCCAATTACACTTAAAAACTGCTGTGGCAATACGTTTTTATATATTGTTGCACTTCTGAGAGTATCTTGGCTGTGGAAATGCTGAGTCAAAAGATTACCACATTTCATTATTTCTGTTTTTTTGAGTCACATTCAGAAAATGTATAAGTCTTGAAATTTGTTTTTCTGTGATCAAAATCTTGATCAAGTTTTTAAATGTTCTGTGGACATAAGAAATAATTTTATTTTCCAGTCATGGTATGTTCTCTCTATATATTCTTACTATTTTCTCTACAGATCTGTTCAGTTCTGAAAGAGATATTTTGAAATATCATACTGTTAACCTTTTTTATTAAATTTTCAGGTTTTTTTTTTTTTTTTTTTTTAGTTATTACATTATTCAGCTATTAGGTGACTTGGTAATGTGCATGTTTATGACTTCATCATGATTTCTGTGTTTTTATTACAAAAGTCTTTTTTATCCTGATTGTTGTTGTGGTGGTGGTGTTATGTGCCGTCGAGTTGGCCCCGACTCATAGCGACCCCTCCTTGGGTTTCCTGATTAGCAAAATTAAATTTAAATTTCACCATGTCTTTCATTAATAACTTTAACTCCTTTTTTTTTGTTTGCATTTGCCTAATATTTCTTTATTTTTAACATTTATCACTTTAAGTATATTTCTTACAAACACATGATATAGCTGTGTTTATATCACAGATAGTTTGTCTTTCAATGAAAGAAATCAGTAAGTGTTATAATAAATACCCTTGATTTTATTCTTCCAATTTTACTTTTTTAACTTCTTACAGTTTAATCTCTTTTCTTTATTTTTGCTAGTTTGATTAAATTAATTGCTAATCATTCCATTGTTTTCCCTGAAGTTGGAGGTTTTACTTTATTTTTCCATTCCAATAATGGTTCCCTTTCTCAGCCCCTTTAAACACCTGTAACTGTACTTTTACTTCAAAACAAGGTAACTGCTCTTTCTTCTGCCAAGATACATAGTTTTTATCACCAAGATATTCTAATTTTCCCAGTTGCCCCCTCTACTCAGTCATAAGGCACTCTGGTGGCACAGAGACCTCCAGAGTATAGGCATACCTTGGAGATACTGTAGCTTCAGTTCCAGACCACCACAATAAAGTGAGTGAGATGGATTTTTTTGGTTTCCCAGTGCATATAAAAGTTATGCTTACACTACAGTGTAATCTATTTAGTATGTAGTAGCATTATGGAAAAGTTAGAAATAATGTGAGAATTACCAAAATATGACACAAAGACATTAAATGAGCACATGATGTTGGGAAAATGGCAAGGATAGATATGCTTGACACAGGGCTGCCACAGACTTTGAATGTGTTAAAAATTTATTATCTGGGAAATTCAATGAAACAAGGTCTGCCTATACTTTTTTCCCCTTCCCCTCTCAACCTTTAATGCTCCCTATGATGAGCCCTTTGAAATATTTTTGTCCCCTTCCTCCCTCAACCCCCAACTACTGGATTGAAGTAGATGGTTTATTATGTATCAGAAATTAAGTATGTCCTTCTGTTTCAGAAGTTCTTACTTAGCATTTACATTATATTACCTTTAAATACTAAGTTTTAATTGCATAAAACACATTTTTGTGTATGCACACAGATATATTGCAAAGTGCATTGTTTTTCACCACTTTTGTTCTCCTCTTCATCTTTGCCTGTTTAATATCTCTACTCTGTTTTATTTGTTGCTTCATTAAAGTCTTAGGTATTTTCTTCAGATATAGTACTTGAATCATATGCTATTTGAATTCCTATATATCCTCAAGTTTCTCCCTTTCATCCTGGTAGAGATAGCATATCTTGGCCAAGTATAAGATTCTTGAGTTTCAGTCCTTTTCTCTCAAAGGTCTATAGATTTTATTATCCTTTAGCTTCCAGGTTTATAGATAAACAGTACAATGCCAGCCTGTTTTTCTTTTCCTTTGTAGCTACCTCAGTCCTTCTGTTTGGATGCTAGTAATATTTTTGTTTTTAAAGTTTAGGAACATTACCATTATATACTTGCATATGTGTCATGTCTTTTTGTTTTCAGCCTAAACTTTGGTAAGAGTGCTGCCTGTGTTCTAATTTTGGTTGCACCATGTACTGGCTGGGAAACACATCTTTGGGCAACATATCTAACATTTTTGTGCCTCAGTTTCTCATTTGTGAAATGAAAATAATAGTAGTATCTCATAGAGTTGTGTGAGAATTAAATAGATTAGTGTTTTTAAAGTGATTAGAACTATGCCTTGTCATTTAAAAAAACCCACTGCCATCAAGTTGATTCCAGCTCATAGCAACTCTGTAGACAGAGTATAACTGCCTCACAGGGTCTCCAAGACTTTAAATCTTTACAGAAGCAGACTGCCTTATCTTTCTCCAACAGAGTGGTTATTTTTTCTTCTTCAGTTCAGGGATTCTTTCTTCCTTTACTTACTTATATTGCCCCAAATGTTTAATGAGTTTGTTTTCCTTTTTCTGCTTCTGAAATTCCTGTTACAAACACGTTTTTTTCTTGGATCTGTCCTCCAAGTCTCTTACCTTTTCTTTCAGGGTTTCTATCTCTTTATATTTTGGCTTGACATTTTGAGTTATTCCTGAACTTTATTTTCCAAGGTATAACAAGAGTTATAGGGATATGCCCTACTTTAATTCATTTATTGAATTTTTAAGTTTTTTTTTTAACCTTCAGAAAGCTTTCTATGATGTGACCATTTAAATATCTTTAGAAGCTCTTATTTTATTCAGATATTTATCTGTCTCTTCCAGCAGTCCTGTTTCACTAGGTATGTGTTCTGATTCTTTTCCCTATTTGTACTCTCTAGTGATGGAGCAATTGCCTTCCATTAGATAGGTCATTATTTTTCTCTTGGCTTATCAGGACTGGTGTGGGTATGTAAGTATTTTAAATGGTAAGAATCTATAAATGGCAAAAGGTAATGAATGAGGCTTTGGCAGTTTAAGGAGAATCTGTCAGCATCTGCAAACAACATTTAGAGGAAACATCTGTATTCACTGGTACCTCAGACTTCTGAAGATCAAACTTTTCCCTGGATCCCCTGGTTCTTCCCTTGGGGCTCTAGTGTTGTTTGCTAATCACACCCAGTCCACTGCAAGGAAGCTCCCTACCAGTTCCCTTCTGGGACCCCAGCAGAGTCCTCAGCCTCTTTTAGCACCATTTGCTCTAGATCTGAGCATTTGTTGTTTCAGATGAAGTGAGTCGCTAGGAGTTGGGAGACGAGCAGGAGGCAGCTACTTTCAGGTTACCATGTTCCCAGAATCCATGATTTTCTTTTTTTTTTTTTTACTTGTAAATCTTTAACCCATCTGGAATTTCCTTTAGTGTAAGGAGATAGAAACAGCCTGTTATTTTTTTCCAAACTTCCAGTGATCTTATCACAATTTGTGTTTAAAAATAAATTAATCTAATCACCTACAGATTGGAAATACACTATCTTTATATAAAGATGCATTTTTAAGAAAAGTCAGTAGTAATTGGTCAAAAATATCCAACTCAATAAAATTTTTTCTTATTATCACTTTGCCCTCCTAGACCATGAGTAAGAATATTTCTCTAAATATGACCACTGGCAAAGGAGGGCTGTTCAAGCTTGTGAAAAGTAGCACAGCAGAGTTGTTTTTGAGGGTATTCAGCAATGCCTCACAGTGTGAGTGATCCCAGTATATCAAGGCTTGAGCCAGTCTCCTTTTTTGAATTCTGTACACAAAGCAGTGTCCAGAAAGCTTTACCTTATGTAGTCTAGTGTCACTAAAAATGACATTTAAAAATAGGGATATTAGGTATTATGTTTTCTATGAACTGTTTACCTTCTAGGAGCTCTGGTGACATAGTGCCTAAGGCACTTGTCTGCTAACCAGAAGGCTGGCTGTTCAATCCCACCATCCACTTTTCCGAGGAAAGACTGGGCAATCTACTTTCATAGAGATACCGCCTCAGAAACCCAAGGAGGGGTTGGTATGAGTCAGGACCGACTCAACGACAGTGAGTTTCATTTGGTTTTGGCTCACCTTCCAGCATATCTTAACAAGAAAGGAGGACTATCATGTTCTGTAGTTCTTAACTGATGTTATAAACATATAGAAATAAACCATTCTCCACTCTGCCATGTACACAGATGTCATGGCTAGAAAAGTCCTAAGGTAAAATATAGTTCATATAGAACTACTTAAGGGCAGAACACCCTCATTGAACACATTTAACATAGACCATTGGAGAGGAAGAGCTGAATGTTTGGTACATTTTAAACTCTTAATCAAAATTAGTTCTCATACTATTATTAATTTTAAACAAAGTTGCCATTTAAATTATTGTTCCTTGTGTTATTTACTGTCCTGGAGGGATCCATATGATATTCTCCTTAGAATTTAGTGGCAGGGGAAACTTTCTATCTCTTGAAGAACGTTTTATTTCCTTCCATTGGGTACTGTATGGCTCTGACTGACTTGACTCCTGGCTGTCCACTGAGGACTCTGCTTCCTCTGTAGCCATATCAGGTGATGGATGTTTTTCTCTCCCACACCCCAAATACCACTGGACCTGGAAGTGGAGTAGATGTCCTGCTTCCTCCTCATTGCCCCTTCTGGATCATTATTTACTCCTTTCTGCTGAAAACCTCTCAGTACCTTTGTTGGAGCATGTGCCATCAGATTATCTAAGTCATACACAGATCACTTTACCATTCCTGTAAGAGTAGAGGCCATTATTCCTGTCATAATTCTTTGTGATGCTAGTATCCACTCAGTAACCTGGCTTCTTAGTTCCTTGGCTTCCCAACCTCAAATGATCTCTGTTAGTCAAATCTTAGACCTTATGTAATTTACCCACATAAGAACATTTCTTCTAAAAATCTCAATTTCAAGAATCCTGCTCTTAACCACCTTCTCTGTTTCCTGCTCCCTTCCTCTAGTATCTTAACATGATTCTTTGACCCCCAAAGGGATTACTAGTCATTGACCTCTGTCCATTAGTCACCACTTGTCCTCATCCCTCATTCATAGCTTGGGTTTTATTTTCTCTCATTGAAGTTACTACTTTATCTACACTTCCAATTTTTTTACTTCTTACTTCATTTAAATATTAGAAACAAAAGAGAACTTCAGCATGTTCTGATCACCAGATATGATCTGTCAGAGTCTGTGCCCACGTATTCTGATTTATCCTCATTATAGTAAGTAAACTGTCCTTGTTCCACTCTATCACCAGATGTAATACTTGTGTATTGGATTCCATTCCCACTTGCCTCCTTAAGGACTTTTGTCTCTACTAGAACATTCATATCAACATACAAATCTGCCATAATATCTTACAACTTGAAAAATAAAAGCTTTCTCTTGAACTTTTGTTCTCCTTCCACTATCACCCCCTTACTCTGCTTCCCGTTATATCAGATCTCCTAAAATTACTGTCTGTATTTGCTGAACCTATTTCCTTTTCTTCCATTCTGACTTGTATCCGCTCATCAGGCTTTCATTGTCAGCACTCTATTGAAATTGCCCTTGTCAGGATCCCAGTTGTCTCTTCCATGTTGCCAGATCCAGTAGGCAGTCCTCAGTCCTCTTCTTATTTGGACTGTTAGCACTTTGACACAGTGATCACTCTCCTCCTTGGAACATTTTTTTTTTATGTTGTTTTGGAAACATCACTCTCTCTAGATTCTCCTAGTACATCAGTATATGCTCAGTATACTTAGCCGAGTCTTCATCTTCCAGACATCTGTACTTGGGAGAATCTCAGGACTCAATTCATAGCTTTTAGCTTCTCTTACTTCTTAGATGATCTCATTCCATCTTGATATTAAATACCATTTATTAACTGATGAACACTGACTGTACCTAAATTTGGGAGCTCTCGTGGCGTAGTTCCTAAGGCATTTGACTGCTAACCAGTACCTAAGTTTATATCTGTAGCCTCAGTCTCTCCCCTAAACTCCAGATGCATATCTCCAATGACCCATTTGACATCCATACTTAGAAATCTAACAGGATCCCATACTTAACATGTCCAGAACTGTACTCTTATCTCCCCCAAAGTTTCTCTTGCTCAGCTATCTCCCAGAGCATTGCCTTTCTTTTGCATTCTACATCCAAGCCTTCAACATACCTTGTTGGCTTCACCTTAAAAAAATATCCAGATTCCAACCACTTCCCACTACCACAACCAATATTGCTCTTAATTTAAGCCACCATCTTCTCTCGCTTGGACACCCTAACTAGCATCCCTGTTAACATTCAGAGCAACCAGGGTTATCCCTTTGAAATGTAATATGTTACTCCTCTGCTCAAAGCCCTCCAATAGTTTGCCATCTCCTTCAGGATAGAATCTAGAATCCTTATAGGACCTATAAGATGTAACATGATCTAATGTCCAGAGTGGGAGTAATTAGTTTTGTCCTTCAAATTTCCTGTTCTCCTCTCAGACACAATTAGGATTACACTTCCCTGGGCCTTTGTATTTGTGTGTGTCCATGTAACTGACATGCAATAGCCAGTTAAATGGTAGAGTGATGTGTGTAACTTCTGGATGGCAACATTAAGAGCCAGTGTGCAATTTGCCATGCCATTTTTCCCTGTTCCTCAGTGGTGGCAGTGTTCCATCGAAGGTGACTACTTCATTGTCTTGGGTTCCAGACTGAGGAGCAGAGGGCCCAAAGTGACCCACTGTGGAGCATGTAGCATGATCTACATGTTGCTTTGAGCCTCTGAGATTCAGAGGTTATTACTATATGCAACAAAGCCCAGCTCATCTTGACAGAAGCACCTGGCTTCCTCACTGATACTGTCATTGCATTCCCTCTACCTCATTGTGCTTTGGACCACACTGGCCTCCTCAACGTTGCTCAGACATACCAAGCATACTCCTACCTTAGGCCTTTAACTACCTGAAATTCCTAATAAGGTGGTAAAAACTTTACTCTTAAAATATTGATTCCTCAAATTTTAGGTTTCTTTTATAAAACCTGTTTTGGTAGACTTAATAATACCTACACCAATTATTTCTTTCTATAGGCTGGTACGTTTGTTTTAGATCCAATGTGTGGACTTGGAACAATACTTTTGGAAGCTGCTAAAGAATGGCCAGTAAGTTCTAAAATGTGATGAACCAAGCAATGTATATATATTAATATACATTTATATATTATTTAGGAGCTCTGGTAGCATAGTGCCTAAGGCACTTGACTGCTCACCAGAAGGCTGGCGGTTCAAACCCACCAGCCAGTCCTCGGAAGGAAGGTTGGGCAATCCTACTTCCATAGTGATACTGCCTCAGAAACCCAAGGAGGGGTCACTAGGAGTCGGGGCCGACTCGACGGCAAACAACAACAACATATATTATTTACAAGTAGATTATAATTTTTAATTATCACACCCACTCCTTATTGACATATTTAGGTTTCATAGACCAGGTTGTTATGCAAAAATTAGGAGTATTCAAAAAATGGAGATGACCACATCAGCTCACAAAATGGAGGGTGACTGCATCATTACATAATTGCCAAACTACGGAGAATCATGGCCAAGCCAAGTTAACACATAACATTAACCATTATAGCCAGCAATACTCTCATCTCGTATTTCAGCGTTCATTACTGCCAGACGTACATTGTTAATGTGCAAAATAGTTGGATAGTTGATTTTTTTTTTTTTTACTATTTTAATAAATGCTGAATATTAGATAACAAGATAGTTGATAAGTGAGGAGTAGATGTAGTCAAAATAGGTAAGGAAGGACTAATTATATTACTGTTATTTTCTTAAATAACTGTGGTAAATTTAGGAAAGTATGACAAAACTCCAATAATTCATCATAAGCCACATTATATAAATCTCTTAATTACTTAGATATTTTAATTGTAAAATAACAGCAGATTTTAAAATTTCAACAAAACTTTCAATTTTTTGCTATTAAAAATCATTTTAATAGAATATTCCAATTTTTTTAGCATGAATTAACAAATGTAATACTTTCATTTTCATCATTTTAAAAAAATGCAACTAGATATTTTTTTAACTGTACAGAATTATTTATAGTTAAAATATGAATTTCTTTCTTTGTAGGGTGTGTATTATGTGGGTGCTGATGTCAGTGACTCACAATTACTAGGGGCACATGACAATCTGCAGGCTGCAGGCCTTAATGATAAAATCGAACTACTTAAAGTCTCTGTTGTAGGTAAGATACAAAAATTGTAAAAATTTTGGGAAATGAACGTATGTAAATATTTAAAGAATAATAACAAAACAAGACTTCATATTTACAGGTTTAATTGTTCATACCCAATAGTATACCTGTGGGGCTAATACTCAGTTTATTTCTAGTGTGATGACTAAACATTTTTCTTTTTCAAAAGATTCATTATTGGGAAGCAACATTAAGTAGTTTCCCTAAGCATTTAAGTAAAAGCATGCCTTTTTAAGGTGTGTTTAATGCATTTGACTTGGAAGGATGGTTGGGCAGTCTACTTCTATAGTGATACTGCCTCGGAAACCCAAGGAAGGGTCTCTATGACTTGGATCTGACTCAACGGCAGTGAGTTTGTTTTGTTTTTTTGGTTTTTAATGCATTTGAACTGTTTCTCGTAACCATGGATCAATTAATATAGGCATAAAATAAAGAAACTAGTAACAATAGAAACTCTGAATTTCTTTCAGCTAAACTAATGAAATGTTCTGAATTACCTTAGTTCCTCCCTTTCGTCCCACACTGGACAGCAGTAACTTTGCTAAACCCAAGACTTTCAGTGCTACAATGGGAAATTCCCAGGCAATATAGGACAATTGGTGGAGGGAAAACATTACCCCTTATTACTGATACGCAATCAGCAGTGACAAATATGTCAGCAGTGACAAATATGACTTGGAATCAAGTCTGCTGAGTCCAATCAAAACAGCATTTACCTAATCAGTGGTATTTAGATTATTTTAGAGAAGCCTCATATTCCCTGTTTCTTTCCATAATATCCACTTCCTCCCTTAACAAAAATGAGTACATTTAATTCCTAATTGAGAAAATTGTATTCTCTTGGCACTGAATAGGTCCTGATATTGAATCAGAAGGAAATTATTTTAAAAATTCTTTTTTTCTTTCTTTCATTTTAACTTTTTTATTGTGCTTTGGGTTTAAGTTTACATGGCAAATTGGTTTTCCATTTAACAATTCATACACTTTGATTTGTGACATTGATTGCAATCCCTACAATGTGACAGCACTCCTCCCACTTCTTCCTTGTGTTTCCCATTTGTCCATCTTTCCTGTCCCTTCCTGCCTTCTGAATTTATCCCTGGGTAAGTGCTGCCCTGTTTATCTCAGATGGTTTGTCATTCCAGGGAGTGTTTACTTCCCTAGTGTTATTGTTCCTCTTATAGGCCTATCTGTTATTTGGGTGAAAGTCAGCCATGAGGAATGAGTTTAGTTCCAGACTTGAAGAGTGTCTAAAATTTTTTTATTGCAGTGTAAAAGATGAGTTTCAACAAGAAGAAAATATTTAGATAATTTCTATGTAAAAATCTTAACAAAATAGCCTCAGGGAGAAAGTTTTATTGTTGATTGACACCTCATAGTTGCTTGCTGCCAATGACTGTAGTAAAAAAGAGGAAGGAGATTGGGAGTCAGGCAGGCATTTTTGAAGACAGAATTAGAATTTAACTTTTAAAATGTACATATTTATAAGCTGAAGGGAATGATCAAGTGGAAAGGAGAAACATGATAATGTCGCAGAGAGAGGCAGATTGCTTGTGGGTTATACTAACTAGACCCCAGGGGAAGGGGTGGGATCCAGTCAGTGCACAAGCAATGGTTCTTAGACCTAGTAACCAGGGAGGGCAAAGTGGATGAGATCAGGTGCAGGTAGGTTGGTCACTGTGGTAGGTGGGAGTGCATATAAGACATAAGTCGTCATGGAAGAAGAATAGGCCTTAAAATTAGAAATGTGGATCCAGATATGCATACCTTTACTTCTAAAAAAATGTGATACATCACATCAAACCAAAAACGTGGACATTAGTGCACATTTTTCTCAAGCTTTGTTTATTGCATATTATCATTTTTATTATAATTTTGAAAACTCTTTGCAACCTTGGTAGATGGCCTATTATTATTTAAATTTACCTCTTTTTGATTTCTAATGAGATCAAATATTTTTCACCTTAAGCCATTTATTTATCTTTCCTTTATGTTTGTTTTCAACAGACATTTCTAGAGGAAAGAGTAAAACATGTGTTTTCAGCCTGTTTCATCATCACAACATTTTAATGTAAAATTTCCATCTAGGGAGAACTATGTGAGTGAATTTTTGACTCATAGCAACCCATGTGACAGAGTAGAACTGATCCATAGGGTTTTCTAGGCTGTAATCTTTACGGGAGCAGATCAGTCAGGTCTTTCTTTCTACAGTGGAGCCACTGTGTGGGTTCAAACTGCCAAGCTTTCAGTTAGCAGAGTGCTAAATCATTGCACCACCAGAGTTCCTTATCTCTGTTTTAGAGGTGGACATTCGAGCTAAATAGTGTCTATTTTCTTCATTAACTTAATCTTACCTTTAAGAACTCTAATAACAAATACTCTTCTTCAACAGAGATAGAATATTCCCTATTAATTGGCAAAGGACATCTCTTTTATTTCTTGGGGAATTAAGCAGAATAATAACACATTAAGTTTGCAACCAACTAAGAGGAGAAAGTTGAACAACGTGTGTCTGTTGGAATAGGAAACTCTAGGAGCTTAATGTTAGGACCCAAATTCTTCTCTTATTTTTCAGCATTCTTACCCACCTCAGAGGAAATGCAATTTTAAAAGGAGAATTTCAGAGTGGTGGTGATGGTGTGTGTGTACACACACACAAGGAAGGGAGCAGTGCATGTTACTTAATTTCATACCAAAACTGTATTTTATGTAATTTGATATTACCAAAAATTAAAAAAGGAAGAAAAATTTTTTAAAAAAAAGAACTCTACTAACAAATATAATTTAGACTGATGATATCCATGAATTCCTCATTCAACATTGACAGGTTTGAGAATTGTAGACATTTTTGTGGTAATAATTAAGACCATACATGGATGTTTAGAGTCAGACAGTCCTGAGTACAAATCCTGGCCCCACCATTGCTTAGTCCCTGTGTGACCTTAGCAAAATGTTAAATTTCTCTATTTTTTATTTTCTTATCTATAATATAAAGATGATAATACCTGTTTAACTGGGCTGCGAGAAGGAGTTGCTACATACTCACATAAACTACAGTGCCTAACATATACCCTGAAACAGAAACCTTTGTAGGCATGACTCATGTTTTGGAAGTTAGTAATATTCCCCATCATGATTTATGTTCCTGCAAAATCACTGTCTTCATCCTCTTTCCCTGCTTTAATACTTTATTTATTATTTTTAGTAACATTCATTTTATTTAATGACTCTCTACTAGTACAAAATGAGACAATCACATTTAACATATATAGTCACTGCATGTTTATTTCTAAATATTAATCATCATGAAAATTTGGGGTCAAATGAGCATTATGTTACAAGTTATCTTAAGAAATAACAATTAGTCATTGGTTAGGCATTTTTTTAAAATCTACAGATATATTTTCATTCTAAGTGTAAAATGGAGAGTTATTATATATTCAGCTTTGACCAAAAGAAACAGGTTTGATTTAATTTGTGATAAAATTATTGTCAGGAAAAAGGGAATCTTTTCATTCCTTCCAATTAGACATTCTGTAGCTTGTATAAGAAGTCTTGGTAGTGTATTGGTTAAGCGTTTGGCTGCTAACTGAAAGAAATGCTGATGGTTTGAATCCACCAGCTGCTGACAGTTTGCTCCAGTAAAGATTCAGCTTAGGAAACCCTATGGGGCAGTTCTACTCTGTCCTATAGGGTCACTATGAGTCAGAATTGACTTGATGGTACACAACAGCAGCACAGCTTATATATATCACTTGAAAACCAAACCCAACCCATTGCTGTTGAGTCAATTCTGACTCATAGTGACCTTATAGGACAGAGTAGAATTGCCCAGAGTATTTCCAAGGCTATAAATCTTCACGGAAGCAGTCTTCTTCATCTTTCTCACACAGAGCAGCTGGTGGGTTTGAACCACCAACCTTTTGGTTAGCAACCAAATGCTTTAACTCTGCACCACCAGAGCACCTTATACATCACTTCAGTGAAACTTTTTGTAACAAGATTATTGGTAGCACCTCTGCTTTGTTGTCAGGTGTAATTTCCACCCTTGGAGTAACTACAGCATATACTTTACCCATAAGTTACCCCAGTTCATGGACATTTAGGAAGTTATCCTGTCAGAGATACAATATTATTCATTATTGTGAATGCTATTAAAAAGCTTGCTTCAGAGTTCAGCATTGCACATTTGTTTGTTTATGCAATGATGTGATGGACCACAGCATCATAGTGAAAAATAGTAACATTCTTAATAAATTAGGGAGCAGACATGTACATAGGATTTGACATAGTATCTGAATAAGTCACCATTACTTTCAAACTAGCTGCAGAATACTGTGGTGAAGATGGTTGAATGCAAAAAATAAATAAATAAAATAAAAAAATAATCATTGATTCCAATCACAATAAAAAGTTAAAAAAAAAAACAAACTTCAGAATGGCAGTACATACTTTGTTGCTTGCCCATCATCAGTTAGATTTAATTTTAAAATGTTTAAACCTTCAAAGAACTACTTTCCAAATCAGCCAAAATATCCTGCGATGCTGCTAAACTTTTTATAAACAAGTTGCCTTATTGTGGTCACATTTTTTTTAAAATCCATGGGAAATCTGTAATCAAAGGATTCAGCAAATGGAACACCAAAAAATTCTACCTTTTAAATTTTTTAATAAGTTGAGGTTATTAAAACAAGGCTTGCAACAGCAAGACATTGACATCTATCCCTAAAAAGTCAAGAAAAACTGAACAGATTAAATGGTCAGAACCCAGTAATACACAAGATTTAATTCTGAAATGCTATAAATGCACTTTGGATGTGTTATGGGCAGAATTGTGATGGCTCTCTTTTAATTGCGTAAGTCGGAGTCCTCATTGTACTCTTCAAAACCCTAGATCTTTCATCCAGCCATCCGTTATCCATTACCTCTTTAACCTAATCTTCTTCCATTCTCTCCCTCATTCACTCTACTTCAGCCACATTTGCCTCCCT